ATCCACTTATCCGCAGCTTTTTATTCATTGTTTCATTGACAGTATAGATGCACAGGCCTAAAGGAAAGTTATCGAAAGCAGGTGTATGCTCGCCAAAGTGTTTTTTTTAATTGCTCAGTGGGGATTTTGTACTCTAAAAAGTAAACTTTCATCCAATACTAATCTTGATCTTGCTTGGGACGGAGTTATGTCACCAAGCTATGGGTTTAATTGTATGCAAACTCTTCTGCCACAAAATATTCTCCTGTTCATTTATTTCTACATTAGTCCTCCGTAAACGAAATGCAAAGCATCATCCTGTTTACCGCAGAGACTGACGCACTTGATTATTCATGCATTCGCGACGGCAGAGCCTTTTTTTGGAAATTATAAACAAAAGAAATAAAAATGCCGACCTGCAGTGACATTCGATCGGTTTAAGGTTCTCCTTTGATCGCTTAGCCTTCCACACAATCCTCGAGTCCACGTATTTTGCTTATAAACTATGCACACACACATGTTTCTGCTTACACTCCCCCATTCTTCTTGACCAGCCGTGCTGTCACACTTCAAGGATATTTTTCCAGCTATTTTCTTTCTCTAATATAATTTTCATATGGATTTCCTCCATAGCTTGTTGATAGCATCTCCTCTCAGGCCACGTTCTTCTTACGACCGACTGAACTAAATTTTTCACCATTTCAACTGTACTTATTTCTTGTGGGAGACCGCTGGTTTTGACGAGGAAAAGAAAGACGACATCCTTTAATATATCTTCAAATGAACCATTCGGCTCGCTAAATGTATCGAGTTTTCTTATCATTGGGTATTTATGCTAAAGCCGAGGGAGTGTCGAAGAAGGCGCTTCATCTTCCAAAGACATACTCAGTTAGATTTAGAGAAATTTTAAAAATGTCTTGCCTTCGAGCAAATCTGTTTGTCAACTTAACTTATATTTCAGATTAAATACAAATACGTAATTAACTGTGAACATTGAAATGTAGAAACAATTTCAATGGTTATCATTTAAAATGTTCCTGCATTTACAGTTAAGGCCTAGAGGGCTTGTAGATGTAATTAATGGAAATGACATTTTGAATGCTCACAGCGTCCGCATCCACAAAGAACGCAGTTAGTATGGTAAGAATAGACTGAAATTACTTATTTTTAAGAATTCCTACTGGCATTACTTTGCATAAAGTACTGAGCTTTCTAATAGGCAGTTTTTTAAAATGCAATTATATGTAAATCTGGCAAAGTTTAACTAGCATTACGAGGTCATCCTGAAGTCGTAGCCACATCCCAACTGGACCAATTTTGTTGAATTATATTGGTCGTTTGGTTGGTCTTCTTGGGGTCAAACTCTCACCGTTTTTGATTAGTGTTCTTTAAGTCAATCAAGGGTAAATCAAACATTTATTTGGGTAGGAACTCGAATTTATCACATCTTTTAATTGTTTCTAATTAGCCTTCTCACGACCATCTAATATTTAAGACGATCACAGAACAAAATTGATGAACAGAACATATGTAAGAGATGTAATTTAAATACACGCTTTATGGCCTTGTTGTCACGCTCACAGCATTACATGTAAGTAATTTATTCAATATGCGTTCGTAATGGAAACAAACTTCTTGACAACCAGAACTATCCAGAAGACAGGGAAATTAGGTGCATCAACTGGAAGACTTAATGTGCTAAATTTTTCAATCAATGTCCTTTTGGATATTAAGTGATTACGCTTTCAGTCGACTCCGTTCACCTCACTCGACAGTTGATCATTACGTATTTGTTATCATGTGTTGTCCCCGACCATTACGGTTAGGTAATTCTACTGGTTTTTCAGAGTAGAGATTTCTGTGGACTTAATCATGATTATCGTTTTGAAGGAACAACACCTCGTTCAGATTAAGTGCTGGAGGGCATATATTACGGCGAGGTTAAGTAGGCTGCATGTTTTAAACATTAACAAGAATGATAAATATTATCAGGCTCTCAATCTATCAACTAACGATCCACCTTAAAGCACTTTCACACCACTGTGAACAGCCATCTAAGACAATAGAAACCTTGAAGTCAGCCTCAGACTTTAATGGACACTAGCTGTCAAGTTCGTCTAGGTAGTAATTTGCGTCATGGTCGAATAAATAACTCTTAATTTTAATAATTTAATATATCTAATTAAAGAAAAATAATGTGCTTCATAGACATCACTAACAAATATGCTTTTTCAGTAAACAGTTCTTAAAAATTAATTATTTGTATTTCTGCAAAGACTGACAGACCGATTATTTTCACAGTAGTTTCTCATGCGTCGGTAAAGTTTTGTCCAGAGTGAACACATGCTACGTTTTAGCTATCTGTTTGGGGGAATACTAAAGCATTATTATATAAGGAGATTTTGACGTTAGGTGAAAACTGGTGAATTTTAGTATACGTTTAGTGAGTTTGATTCGTATAGTTTCTCAAGTACAGTAGATCAAGTCAGTTCTGCGGTAGCGAAGTCGCTCCCACCTTTACATCTTCAGTTTCCCGAAAATCCATGGTCGAACCTATGGTAAAATTTCTTGTGTAGGTATTTACATGCATGATCCAAAGTAGAATCCAATATTTTAACTGAAAGAGTCCTGTAACAGAGGAATAAACAATTTCAGAATCTGTTGGATTCAAGTCAGCAGTATACCATTATTGACTACTTCAATATATGCGATCGGTAGGGCGCATGTCTGGAAGTCTTACTCGCACCTGTGCTAGGCGCATAACAAGTTACTTAAATTAATTCCAATTTTAATGCAGTTTTTTGCGGTACACAGACATACAAGAAAAAATACTTTTGTGCATGTTTTTTGTTAGCTGCGTTTAAGTTTGATAAGGTATCGAAATTCACTGGGTAAAATATATACCAAGTGACTCTTTTACTGAATGGTGTTACCGCTGACAATCGAAAAGAGGCGCAATTTAAAATAGTATGTCGCACATCAATCCATATTTCAACCTCAGCCAAGTAATATTCGTTCAATTCTTTTCATGTAAAGACAACGCTCAAATATTCCCGCATAATCTAGTACACTTTTCAGAATTTCGGCGGATATGTCATCAGGTCGGTCTTCATATGCACGTACATACTGTGGAAATTCATTACTAGTAGTCTTTGATGAAGGACGGCTTCTCCTTGCTAAATGACTACATGGTATGCAACTAAACACTACTTCCTGCACTTCCGTTACGCAAAAGACGTTTAAATTTCTTAGGCTAAAATCAGAAAGAGTGATTGATGGACATGCATCCGGTATATAATTAATTTTTGTATTTTTGCGCAAGAAGATGTTTTAAGACGTGTAACTGTCCTCAACTCCAGTGAAGTCACACAACCAATGTAAAACCCTGGCTCAATAAATCGTTCGAGTCGGTCGGAAGCAGGCCGCTAAGGCAAAGCTGCTCGGTAATTTTCCAGCTCTCTTTGCCAAAAACATTCCAAACGTCGCCAATGCTTATAGGTCAAATTTTATTAACAATTTGCACTAAAAGAATTAACATTAGCGATGTTATTTACGTTGACAGTTCAGAAAATGTCTGCAGATGGTTGTGGCATACGAGACCAGTAAAACAAACGCAACTCTTAAATGGTCTAAACGGATCCTTACTTAAATTGCATAAATAAGTTAGGAGCCACAAGCTTTGCAAGCTAACTTAACGAAAACCGCAAAGGTGTGTCACATATATGTGGGTGCAGGCATACACTATAGTAAGTGTGGCTAAGTCACGCTAAGATTAATGGAAAGATATGGCTTGTGGCTTTAATTTCAATTTGTCATTTTGCTAAAGGCTGCTGTGGTATTGCTCTACACACATACCGTAGACATACACCGAACAAAACTGCTGAATACATCAATTGATTATAAAGTCATCTGAAAAACGGTCATAACAAGATTGTGTATTTATTTCTTAAAAGACGTATTGCAAAAATTCTAACCGAACATGTTGGGTCCTTATTCGGCCCCTGTGAATTTAACGGCAAATGTCTTGACGACAACCAAAATATGAAGGATAAGGTTCAGGTAACTTAAAGCACCAAACCAGTTTGGGAAGTTGAAGCTGCCATAATTGTAACTCGTGTCTCCTTCCATATATTCCTTTAAGCGAGTGCGTATAGTTTAGTTTTTGCTGTAAAACGAACTGAAGACTGGATGTGCTAGTGCATTTTCACAATTACACACCCTTTAAACAAAGACAGATATATTTCCGTTCAAGGTATATATAGGTTTAATGCGGATTTACATTCAACGAATGTTGACTAAAGAATTTGTCTATCAGATAATCTTTCTCCAATTTCTATAAAATGGGAAAACTGTAGGACTGTTAAAAAACCCTCAACAAATTTCTTGATAATTATCCTAAAGTAAGGTTTCGATCTTTACCCCTAAGATTAGATTTAAAATTTGCACAAAACTAAGGAGACTAAATATGGAAGTTTGATTTTGAACTAAAATGCAGAAGGGAACTTGGTTGTAATGCTGAGAGACCGACGACTATTATCCCGTGCACTACAAAGCCGAAACGACTGTTTTCCAGCGAGCACTATATATTGTTAATGAAGAATGTTGATGGGGTGAAGATAAATATATAAAGACTTATAATTTGGATGCCACTCTGCAAAAGCAAAAAATTCAGCTACTTTATCATCGATAGTGACAGAATACGAATTCATTTATATTTCCTCATATAACCTTTGTTACATCAGAGTGAAAGCGATCAACTTTTAAAAAAGTCGGGTAGGAATATGCTACATTCATCCCTAGCAGTCGTCTTCTTATTCTGGACATAAAAGTTCCAATAATACACATATATGACACTAGTCAAAAAACAACGAATTGAGCATGTGAATTGTTAAGTCATCAAAATAAATATGCTGCGCATGTCGTTATAAACGGAGAGGTAGAATAAATATTCCTCAACAGTCCAGCAAGTAGAGGTTACACAATTTAGAATGCTGTTTCAGAGAGGCAGATACAAAGATACGATGGTCTTCGGAGTGGTGGAAGGTTCGGCTACAGCTGGTTGTGTCAAAGAGGGTGGGCAGCCGATCAGTAGGTATGCAGAGGATTGGACATGAATCAGTGACCGTTGTGCGCTTAAACATCCAGATAGACAGGTTAGCTTATAAGGAGATAGAGACACGTTTGTAAACAGCAATTCACTTCACATAGCGTTTCGGATTGTCACCAGATCACGCCATCAAAGACGGAAAAATGATAACGGTGCTAGACGCACGGAGTGGTGTAGCATATATATGCGGAGTTGGCTATACCAATGCCCGGATATAATAACTAACAGGTCTGGCAGTCCCAGCCGTGCAGTGGTCGCGCTCTCGTCAGCTGGCAAATGAGGAATCATCGGAAAAATCTCCAACGTAATGACAGTAAACTAGACAGATACACGAAAGATTGTATCACGCATGCTGTCAAAAACAGCAGTGAAAAACCCCATATAGATGTCCAAATATGCGCGAACCTTATTAAAACGCTAACATACGAGATGAATGTGGAGTTTATGGCAGTGGAGCACTCAGATGCGGTATCGCCGATAGACCGAGGCATGACGTGGGTCCAAGCAGTGGGCTTGACTCAAATCTGGAACCATACGAAACCGATCACAGAGGGTACTATTCTCAGACCCATCAAATTACCCAAAAGCAATCTAACGTACAGACGGGCAAAGCAGTTGCCTTCGTGTCTCCAATTTCTGATGTCTGATTCAAACACTATTGTCAGTTTGCCAACGTAATTATCTGAAAAACAAAAGGCCACTTCTCCTATCAAAAGAGGGCCATTGCATTCTCTGATGTCACGTTCATATCCACTTTATTCCCCAGGTTCTAGTAGTCAGTAACATTGAACAACTCCCGTAAAGCAGATAGTACTCAACGGAGGATTGCCTCGGATACACCCAGATCCTCCAACTCCTCAAACCCTCTCTCAGGACGTACATGTTCGATGGGCCGATCTACGAGCAAGTGGAAGGCAAGCCAATGGGTTAACCGAATTCGGTCTTCACAGCTGAGGTGATCTTGTAACAGTTGGAGTGGCTGGTCTTCCGTCACCAAATGTATACATCCTGGATTCCGAACGTTGATACTCAAAGAATATCTCGACGATGTCTTCCCCGACGCACAAGTTACGATGAAGGAAGATAAAAACGGTCTCCTTGGTCTACTTGATGTCTTCCGCAAGGGTTGTCGTTATCTAACAAAGTAGGATGTTTAGGAAAGTGACAAATGTAACGTATGTGTTGAAATTCAACGCCAGCCAAGCAATTAGCTGAAAACGCAATTAAGTAGGGGCGTTAAACAATGTGTTAAGGCGCACTACAGTGGATAGGACGCCACGACCACCGAATTAAAATATGTTAGGATGGTGGATGAAGTTTTGCGCACGTACCCACTCGATGCATGCACAAGAAAGTCGATTGATAACATAGCACTGGTCAGCAAATTTTGGAGAGCGCTCCCGTGTGGGAAGAAAATCCCTGAGGCCTAAGTCGTCTCCACAACCCAATGAGATTAGGGGTTGCACACAAACCGGAGGCAACCATCAGTCGCCAAGTAATGAGGCAGGAGTCACCAATGTCACGATAGATGCCTGAAATCGTTTCCCACATCGTGTGCTGTTGCGAGAAGTGCAGTGTATTTTGGCGAAACTGGGAGATGTCTTCGGATGCGGATGAGGAACCAAGTAGCAGCATCAGCAGCGAGGAATGACGCCAGCACTCAAGTCATGGCCCATATGACGGGGACTAAGCATCCCTCAGAGTTTGCCCAGGTTGTACGTTAGCTGAATACCCAATTGTTTAAATTCAGACGACCTCGGCGTGTTTCTAAGCCACAGAAGAACAGGCTCAGCCTGTGTGCAGTCAACGCCATAACCACTTGAGTTCGGAGGCCCCGATCGAGAGACTTGGTTTTTTCGCAGTTTGACTATGTTGCCAGCCCAGCCGACTGAAACGTACCGAATTCACCAATTCCTACAAATTATGCCGACTCCCATGCAGGCTCTCTCGACCAATCAATTGGCGTTTCATTAGACAATTACCAGACACGTTGATAAACTCAAATCTGATGGTCGGGTGGTTAGACCGTCAGGTGCACACAAACCGTGCCATTTAGTGGCTTCGAATCCCGCAATGAATGTTGAGTCATTCCCAATCGTGTACTCGCTCAAATTGTTTAAATCTGTCAAGACGTCGTGTAAAGCTAATATTCTCTGGGAAGGTGACAACAGCTTTAATCGCATTGCGTTCCCGTCATGGTTCTTCGTTCCGAGGTCTAACAAGCACAATGTCCTCTGTCCTCCAAATTGAACTCGCAGTCTTCCCTCGGACAGGGTAACTAGTGACGCAGGCAGTGTTTGTGCATTCGCTGCGTCTGGTTACAACACCGTAAGGTAATCTGGCGAAAGAATAGTCCCAGTTATTTTCATCGTTGACGATGAAATGCGGCCTTAAGCTGCTCGGATAAGAGCAGTTACGCAGTTGTCACACCGAGTACGGCCACCTGTGACAAATGCAGGAGCTGCTAATTTTGATATATAGGCGGCTTCATCTCAACTGCTTCGCATAATTACTTTGCTCTTCGCGTCCATCAGCTTCATTCCTAGTTGTCTTCTGTAATGAGTCTAAGCATTCATCCGAATCTCCTTCCTAATCGTTTATCAGTTGCTTCTTCCGCCAGTCGAATTTTGTGCTTTTATCCCCATATTTGATCATGCCTATGTTCTTTATGCGTAATTCATTTTTGTACGTTATGTTTTTGTGTGTTAAGCGTCTATATTTTCCCACTCGACTTTAATTTTAGCAGTCGCGTTTGCTCCGCCTTGTCTCCGCTTAATTATTCACCCTTTAGCGCTTGTGTGCAAAGATGATTTGCGTGTTTCTAAAACATCCTAGCAGTCAATATGTGGTTGCCAGTTTCAGTGCGCACTCATTTACCCTAACGTCCGTCGTAACTACAATTATCTCATATGTTGTGTTACATTACTTTTCATTAATCTTTATTGACTAAATTCTTTACGCTACATAGTACTGCGTGCAATGTTTAGGCTGGTTTGTGTGCTACGCAGATGCCAATATGATCTATCTGCCAAGCGATTTCAACAGCGCTTCCGTGCTATAAGCCATGTAGCAGAACCACCGCTGCGTAATTTCTCAATTTTTTTGCGGCCTTTAAAAATGTCGGCCAGATACAGCCGATTTTTGTAAGCGTGTTTTATTAAGCAAATCTTTCATAATGTAATGGCGCAGCCTTTTGCAAGTTGTATGACAGTTGCTTCTGAAAATACTGAAAGGGAATAGCAATGTTAGTATGAAGAGAAGAGGACTGTGAGACGCCATCCGCGACTGCGCTCTGGAAGCCCTCGGTCGCATACGCCGACTGTGCGGGGAATGGTTCGATAACGAGTTTTGGACGACAGGTCAGAACAATAAAACTCCTCAACACGGCTGGCGACAACGAAAAAACAGTATTTCGATGCAGAAGTTTAAGAGATGTAAAATACCACGGTGACTTACACAACCGGAGAAATCTGAGGATACACTGACTGCAGCGAAATCAATAACTTTTTTGGCAGCTACCCCACTACAAATTGAAGGAATGCGTCTTACATTTTTTCAGTAGCGGTCAGTCTCCGAAAACAAAGAGATGTGGGTCATGCAGTCAGCCAAGCAAAGGCTGCATTACACGCGGCGTGAACAGTGAAATGGCCAGGGGTGTTTGGCCGAGGTTACTATGCCGAGTAGGTGGCGTAGGGGTGTCCAGCTGTGGGTCCAGGTGACGGCCATAATAGGTCGCTCGCTTGCCTGCAGGTATAGACTACGTCTAGCATCCACTCGCAGGCACCCAACTCACAGTTGTGGCTCCCCGAAGCTGGGCTCTGCCTAGCGGCCATACCACGGTAACTGCTTCGACCGGTGGACTAAACCAGGTAAGGGTATCCGTATGTTCATCTTCGCACACAGTACTCTCGGCCCCGCTGCCTGGAACTTGCATCTCGGTGGTGAGGCTCCATCTGCAACACCGTAGGAGGCCATAAGGTAGGCACGGTCGCTGGGTAAGCGAGCGTCCCTCTGCTGTTTTCGTTCTTACTTGTTCTTGTCTACTTGCTTTCTGTCTGCTTGTTTTTATCTGTCTTTGTTGAAAACTAAATGTCGTTCTGTTGTATTCGTCAGCCCACTGTTTTTATTTCGGCAGTCAGTCAGCATACAGAGGTACGGCAAAGCTCTTCATCCCGTCTGTCTACCCTTCCACCCCTCTTCAAGCGGTGTCGTAGGCAGTCCCAGGCTAACTCGGATCGTTCTCCCACTGAAAAAAAATTCGTGGCCCATATTAGAGGCCAGACGCCGTCTGGGACAAATGAGTAGCCCTATTTAGGGAGAGCACTGCTCACCCCACGACTAGGAAGGGGCTAGAAAAGGTGCCCTAACCAAATGCTGTGGACCCACGCCGCCTAAAGGCTGACCGTGGCCTCAGATGCAAAACTCACTGTCGGAACACTCAAACCACAAATAATACTCTCTCTTCCCCCTCCTCCTCCCGCCGCCCCAATCACCAGACTGGTAGGATGAGTTTGCTAACTCGGGCAGCCTGCAATGTTCATTCCCTTTTAGAAAATCCGAGGAGCAACCAACCGGAACGGAGGACGGTGCTAGTGACTCTGGATCTGGCGCGCTACAAGGTGGACATCGCTGTACTCAGCGAGACTCGCTTCTCCGAACAAGGCCAACTAGTGGATGCCGGCTACACCTTCTTCCGGAGCGGTCGCCCCAGGGCAGAGCGACGGGACGCGTGCGCCCACTTCGCCCTTCGGAACGACATCGCGTGACGACTGTCCTGTCTGCCGCAGTGCACCAGCGATCGCCTGATGGGACTACTCCTGCCCCTCTGAGAAAGCCAGTTCGTCACTGTTGTCAGCGTCCGCGCCCAGCCAATGACAGCCCTGACGAGGCGAGGAACAAATTGTACGAACACCTGCACGCCCTCCTGGCGTCTGTATCGAAGGCAGATAAGTTGATTGACCTTGACGACTTCAATGCCCCCATCGGAAGAGACCTTGCTGACTGGAGAGGGGTGCTGGGTCCCATGGCCTCTATGGCTTCAACGACGACGGCCTGCTCCTCCTACGAACCTGCGCAGAACACCGGTTCATCCTGACCAACACCGACTTCCGCCTCCCGATGCGAGAAGAGACCATCTAGATGCACCCTTCGTGGGGACCTTGGCACCTGCTGGGCTATTTCCTCGTCTGGAGGCGAGACCGGCGGGACGTGCTGGTGACAAAGGCGATCCCGGGCGTCGACGAGTAGACCGACCACCGTTTCTTCCTCTCCAAGATTCGGATTTGCTTACAGCTTCGCAGGAGATCTCGAGGTTAGAGACCCCCAGGTAAGCTGAATATTGCTTTGCTGTCCTTGCCTGCTCACCATCTTCATTGAGGCAATGAGAGAGCTTAACGGCCAACCGGCCTTCCAGTCGCCGCCGCTGCTGCCGACGAGAATGCCACCATGGAGAACCGATGTTGTCAACTGCGGGATACAGTCCAGTCGACGGCCCTGACTGTCCTCGATCACACACAACGCCAACATCAGTGTTGGTTTGGTGACAACGACGCCTCCATCAGCAACCCGCTCGCCGAGAAGAACCGATTGCACAAGGCCTACGTCACCCACCCTACCGACGGCAAAAAGGCAGTCTTCTACCGTAGGCGCTGCCTTTTGCAACAGCGGCTGGGGGAGATGCGGGACTCTTGGATGGCTCGCAGGGCCAGGGTGATCCAAGAGTACGCAGATCGCAATGAGTGAAAAAACTGCTTCGCCGCGACCAAGGCTGCCTACGGTCTGACGGCCGAAGCAACTGCTCCAGCTCTCAGCGTCGACGAGATTGCCATATCTCCAAGAAGACATGAGTTTTACAGCGATGAGCTGAGCACTTCAGTGGACTCCTCAGCCATTCTTCCTCCATCTCCGAAGCCGCTATCGCCCGTCTGCCTCAAGTTGAGACCACCGCCGAAATTGACCTCCCGCCATCTCTCTCAACGAAACCCCTACGGCCGTGCAGCAGTTCTCCTGGAAGAAAGCGCCCAGATCGGATTCGACCCCTGCGGATATCCACAAGCATGGTGGCCTAACTCATGGATCATCTGACGGCGCTCTTCCAAGAGATGTGACGTCAGCGAGAAGTCCCACAGGATTTTACAGATGCCACGACCGTCCACCTCTACAAACGGAAAGGTGACCGCCAGCTCTGTTACAACCGTCGAGTCATTTCGTTGCTGAACATCGCCGGGAAGATCATCCTCCGCATCCTTCTCTAACACCTGAGCAACCAACTGAAACAGTATCTCCTGCTGAAAAGTCAGCGTGGCATCCGCCCTCATCGTGGAACCACCGACATGATTTTCGCTGCCCACCAACTGCAGGGGAATTGTCAGGAGATGCGAACCCACCTCTACTCTACCTTAGTAGATCTAACGAAAGCTTTCGACATTATAAATCACGAAAGATTGCAGAAAATCACGCAAAAATTCGGCTGGCACGAGCGATTCACTCAGATGGTGCGTCAGCTCCATGATGGCATGATGGCGCGAGTCATGCACAATGGAACTGTCTCAGAGGCATTTTCAATGACCAACGGAGTGAAACAGGGCTGTGTCCTCCCGCCTACGCTCTTCAATCTCATGGTCTCTGCCATGCTGATGGACGCCTATTGTGGCGAACGCCCTGGTATACGCATCACGCACAGGACGGACGGTCAACTCAACAGCCGTCGGCGGATACACTTCCAGTCGCGTGTATTCACAACCACTGTCTATAAACTTCTCTTCGGAGACGACTGCGCCCTCAACCCTACCTCGGAAGGGGAAATGCAAAGGTGCATGGATCTCTTCGCCATCGCCTGCAACAATTTCGGCCTGATCATCAACAAGGAAAAGACGATGGTCATGTATCAACCGCCACCCGACGCTGCCTACGTCGCACCCCAAATTAATGTGAACGGTGCCCAACTGCAAGTCGTGGACAACTTCACTTACTTGGACAGCACGCTCGCCCGCAAGACCCAAATCGACGCTGAAGTGGCCCGCCGGATTTTCAAAGCCAGCCGGGCCTTCGGCCGTCTGCAAAGCACCGTCACGGACTCCATCTCAACACCAAACAGAAGATGTACAAGGTAGTCATCCTGCCGACGCCGCTGTATGGAGCGGAGACCTGGACAGTGTACAAGAAACAGGCGCGAAGACTCAATCATTCCCATCTCAGCTGTCTTCGGCGGATACTGAAGCTTAAGTGGCAGTAACGGATCCCGAACTCGGATGCACTGCAGCGGACGGGAATTCTCGGTCTCTACGCCATGCTAAGACAACTTAAACTGCGCTGGAGCGTCAATCTCGTACGGATGGACGATGAGAGACTACCCAAACGACTCTTCTATGGAGATCTCGCAACGAGTTCACGCAGACAAGAATGTCAGTTCCGGCGCTACAATGATACTTTGAAAACCTCTCTGAAGCACCTGCAGATAGTCCCGGAAAACTAACGAGACCTCGCGCGGGACCGGCCTTCTTGGAGGACATCAATGAGCACGGGCGCGGCAATCTTCACAGCCAACCCCATAACCGCCGACAAATCCAAGCTCGAGACACAAATCTCAGCTGCCGCCGCTGCCCCACAACGCCAACGCCCAACCACCTCCGCCGTGCCCACGATGTTAACGGACATTCCGGGCGCCAAATGATTTTTTGGGCGCCTCCGGACCAAATGCAGCACCCGGACTGCATCAACTGTCGTCTCTCTGTCCACATCACCTTCGCCTTCCACGTCAACTAACGTTGACCGCCCTCCCGAACCACCGTTCCCATCCTCCCGCTCCTCCTCCTCCTCCTCCTCCGCCGCCGCCTCAACGCCTGCCACTGTGACGTTTGCCATGTTCATCAAGACTACACACAATCCTGAAACACCAACAAACACCAACACCACCGTTGTCAACACCACTAATGAGGACCCGGTCTATACCTGTCCTCAGTGCGATCTCACCTTCATCTCACACATTGAGCTGGTCGGTCACTTGCGAATCTATCGCACGGCGACTGGCGAACCAGTGCCTGGAGCACCAACCTACACTCGCCGCATCCGCCTCCACTGTCCACGTTGCACTCGCACATTTATTCGTCGCATGGGTCTATAAGGCCACATGCGTATCCACGAAAACCTGCAGTGGGCAACCGTCGGCTGCTCCACACCATCACCCTCACTCACCAGCATCTCACCGCACATCAACATCGTCCAACCGAAAGCACCCAACTGCCACTCCCCATGCAAGTGGGAAATGTGCGTCTCAGCTCCGTCTCAATGTGGCTCCTGTCCTGCATGTGTGGTCGGAGTCTGAGCCGAAGGCGGTGCATCGAGCACCACGACTTGGAGGGCAGCCGACCGACGTCCCAACTCAGTCCACGAAGTCTGCCCAGCTGTATGGGTTGTTTGAAGTAGCAGACTGGTGGGCTGAGAGCCAGGCTGTCATGGCCCTTTCCCAAACTATCCGTAACACTCTCATGCAGATGAGGAGAGGGCTTGTGTTTGTGTGTATGCTTTATGGATAGTGCCTCTCAGTCGACGACTGTTTGGCTATCCAACCTTGAAGGGTGACCGCCCAGGTTAAATGCAGTGCCACGCGTCAAAGGGTCTGAAAACGTGTGCTATGCCAATATTAACAAACCATGGCCCTCTCAGCCTGGTATGCGCTGCCAGCTCCCGGACACCTGGTTCCCTGCCGATAAATGCGCGGCGCTCCCGTTGAATATACAGGTGGTGGGCATGGCTGCCCAGTCATCCTCGTCCTTCTGACCCCCTGTTGGGGTGTTGTTGTTGTTGTTGTTGTTGGTGGTGAAAAATCCTGGTCAAGTGTATGTTGTGGACCAGGGGGTGTGGTGCCACGCCTAGGTGCGGGTACGGCCGTGCCAGCCACGTGCTCCCTCCCACGTCTCCGGTCTTCTTGACTCTATCTTGACATTGGGTCCAAGTGAAGAGTGGGGAAGAGAGAGCGTGATAGATGCTGCACAAGTCTGCCATCACTATAAAATAATTCACGCGCCAGTCGTCGTGCCTGTTGCACCTTGGTGTGTGGCACGTGGTGGACATCGTTGAAATCGACGGTCAAACTGTCATGCCGAGTAGACTGTCACAAGCCCACCACGGTCCAACCACAATATCTAACCACGTTAATGAACCCTCAAATGGTGAGAACGTACATTTAGATCTCCACCCTTTCTATGGAAGCCGTTCAGAGCTGCACAGCAGATGTCAAGCGACAAAGCATCGTGAAGCGACTCAATCTAAACAGAAATTGATAAAAGTACCAACCTCCGATGCATAGACAGACCTAGCTCATTATCTCAGATGTGCTGTCGAGGTCAAATCACTCAAAGTATCAACTACGCCAGTATCTTCTATTTCAACAAACGCACATCGTCAAATCTGCGATACTTACAGATACATGTAGCTTCTCGATTCAGCAGGCAAAATCTTCGCTCACTTCCTACACAATTTCCCAAACCTACACCCCAGGAAATGACTTCTTCCAGAAAGCCTGTGTCGAGAATTTAAGGATTGCATAGCCATCGACATCGTCTTCGCAACTTGCCAGCTAAAAGAGGAGGATCAAGAAGTGTAAACTGATAACTACACCGCATTCGACACAGTCATCCAAAATGGACTCTTGACGAATAGGTTAAAACTCGGATACCTGCAGAGATTCTCCCAAATGACAAGACGAATGGACGATGAGATGATTGCGCGTAACATAGTGTCAGAAGCAATATTCGTGACAGATGGAGAGAAGCAGGGCTACGTATGTTAATCTCAAGTTCTCTGTTATGCTGTAGCATATCTGCCAACAGGAGCGTCCGGGAACCCAATCAGACTACCGAACCCCAAACAGCTGTTTAATATACACGAGTATTTAATCACGGGGCGTGGGTCCCACTTATTCCGGCTATACATTTTCCGACTGATTTCTAACATGCAGAAGATAGGGTCATATATCAACAGCCGCCATTTAATAAGTACAAAGAATCAAATATCAGTGGAATTTACTTCACTGGTGTGGATAAATTAGTAAACCTGACAAGTGCAATTTAGAGAAACATTACTATAAATGATAAACTTATCAGTAGTTTTTTTAAGACCATGCAATGTCCATGCAAGCAGGACCGCACATTTCCGTTTACCAATGCCCTCCATGAAATGTACAACACAGTCCGGATCCATTGCAATCTTTCATGAACTCTATGTCGTATCTTCTTGAAGACATAGAGAAATATATGGTTTTCCTTACGCGGAAAGCGTGCACCTTGTTGGCCAACATTTCATGAGATCGGTCACGCACTGTAACTTCAATGACGCAGACGCCTTGAGAGGATGGACCATGAACGCTTGCCGAAGGAACTATTCTCTGACGATTTTTCTACCTATGCTCACAAACAAAACGGACAAAAGCTACGATACAATTCTACACAGAGGACCTCTCGCAAGCTCCTGCAAATCCATTAGTTCAGTTTATTTGGTAAGAATAATAGGCAAAGCCTTTGAAAACCCTATAAGGCATTGCTAGTTTTAAAAACCCGCTCGTGGATTCGGTAGGCCTGGCGCGATGCTCTCACCACTGGAGTAGCGAGTAGCGAGCGCCAAGCCACAACGAGACATCCAAGGAACCCACAGGGACCTAATCAGGGCTGCAAATAATCATCACTGCTGACATTCCGACCATGCTAAATGACATCCGGGCTACCAGTTAAGCTTGTAAGACACCTGAAGATACACCATCATGACGCCCCACTAACTGAGTTCTCACAGTGCAAAAATTCATCATCATCAGCAATATTGTGGGAGTCGAGGAAACATAGCATATAAGCCAAGGCTCGTCATGGACGAACATCCTTGCTGAAGGGCATCCTACCTCGCAAGAAACAACCACGTCCACCCTGCCATAACCACGGCCACTACCACTAACACCACCACCACCACCACCACCACCAACACCAATAAAGTATGCGGGGTTTCTATCTGTCAACACTACAACCGCACCTAATAGTACATGGGTCTGACTCAACACCAGCGAATCAGTTACACAATGACAGGAGAATCAGGGACTAAAGTCACCGCATTGAAATCGCCTTCCTTACGTACAATCCGCCCGTACATTCAGTCATCACGTAGGTCTGCTCAGTCATATGAGCATGCTCGAAAACTTGCAATAAAACAATATAGCGACACATTGACCATCTTGAATTACGATGTCTACATTGTGTCCCATAGAAGAGTGAGAGTAGGGGCGATGACTAGCTCGTGATATAGTTTTAATTGATGGCAGACTTGCGCACCATCTGTCGCACTCTCTCCTCCCTTACCCACCTGGGCTCTGTGATAATACAGAACCAATGTGATCGGAGGCGGGATGTAGTGTTGCCGCCGACAAAACTAGACGACACTACGACACGTACCACAGGCGACCTCGCGCCAAATATGTGCATTGGATTTCCCGGACCACGTGGACGGTTCATATCTTGTCAGAATGGAAGTGTCATGGAGGCAAACATATAAAAGGTCACTGGGCTTAGTTTTCGAGTAGCTTATCCCACATACACACACTACGACTGTTAATATATCCCATCCCGACCGAGAGGACAACGAGCCCGTGACTCAAGATTTAGAGCGTTAGACAAGTCGCGAGTTCGGGGCCCGAGGGTCACGTACGTCGGGGTTAAGTAATCCTGGCCAATGACGGCTAGTAGGCCCAAAAATAGTTGACCCTCCCCCACCTAGGTCTTTGTCGGTAATTTCATTCTCCATAATGTCATCTAAAATTGTGCACTCACGACTACATAAATCAGGACATATTCATGAAGTAACTCTGCTGATCGCCAAGTAATTTAGAAAAGCACACTTTTTAACTTTAGGCTGGAGAATTAAGCTTAAAATTTAGTTCTGATAAAACTAATAAGACTGTGCTTTTATCCATCTTCAGAAGTGCGCTCACCCATCAGATGACGTGACAGGAACATCCAGTTGCGTCTTGGTCCCCGATATAGGGCCCTCGCAAGCGATCGTATAGAAACGAATACTCATAAAGAAGCGGATATCGGCAAAGGGCACAGTGAAACGGCCACATCTGTCTTGTTAGCCGTCGTTTTTCAACTATACACAGCCCCTGGTTTGCAGGGCTTGGGACTTAAACCCGGATTGTTGGGCCAGTGACTATTTTCAAGTATCCTATTCTAACGTTAAACTTAGAAAATGGCCCTTGTCCAAATAGCTGTTCTGCACTTTTACGGTCGATCAAAATTAGCGTTTCATATTCTCCGCAAATTCTCAAAAGCAATTCACGTTTTTATCTAAATACATTGCACGTGTCTTACTCAAAAATCCGCAGTCCTTTGAACATAGCCGTTAACGAGTAAATACGCTTAAGTTACACAATCCATAATTGGTTTAATTTAAAGTTATTCTGAAGCAAACAAAGCACTATGAAGCACTATGGCAAAACTAATAAGCGTCTTTAAGGTGGCATCGTTCTTCAATACGTCGGGGATATTCAGGAGTCATTAAAAGTATGGTGAGCATTTTTTTGCTTTAAAGATGGTTCAGGGTGTGTGAAACTGTCTTCCCAGTTTGGAAATTTTACTTCTTCATTTGCTGAGGTGAACTGGGGCAAAGTTCTCTAATTTGCCATTGATGTACTTTGAACGGTTTTTCGAAAATCACACACGAAATGCAATTAACCTATTCAGAGATGTCATGCATGGCGCATTCTACCGTTGCGTTAATCTTCGTGGACAAAATTATTCTGAAATTCGTCTTTTCGACATTTGCGAACAACTGCAGCTGGTGGGAGACCGTGATTTTCAGCGGAGCCAGAAGGCTTCAGCTCTTAAGCCAGACTCTTTAATTTTTCCCTTTTGTTTGACCTTTTAGTATTTAGGAAACTATACACATTGCACGGCTTGACTTTCCGCATAGATAACTTCCAAATGTCAGTCGCGTTTAGGTGGCAGTGTCGCAAACAGAAGTGCACTGAAGCGAGATTGCTTGCAAAACCCCTCAACAAACTGAGTGGCCAGTAAAAAACACCTTACTACACTGCATTATTTAGAGCTTCCGTTTGGAAAGTCTACCCTTGACCATAGGATAGCA